AAACTGCATAAATTCTGTTGTTTTTTTCTCATGATGCCTTTTTCCTGTCTTTCTCCTGCTTGTGTTAGATTTCACACCCTTTCAGTACTTAAAATTGGAATTTATTCTAGAAACAAGTGACTTATTTTATAGTTCACACCTATCAGAAGAGGAGTGAATAATTTGTCTACACATCTATAATGTGTATGTATGTAAAAATAGGTGTGAATTATGCATTAAGAGTGAGTATATTTTTATTATAGCGAAAGGACATTTTGAACATGGGGATTACTTATTGAAATCGTACGCAAATAGGCATATTTTGTACGGTGTTTAATTTTATTTTTTGATCTGTACAATTGTTTTCCTTCCCTGATTTTCACACTCGCCTAAGGTAGTAATTCAATGGAAAATATCTATAAATAATTATTCTATAAGGAGTGGATAATTCAGCCGTGTTGGAAGCAAGTCACCTACTCATTAATATTATGAGATAATTGTTGCACTGTAAAGCGACATGATTGAAGTTGAAAATATGAAGGATTGAAGATCAATTGATTGGTCTGAAAATAACGCTATCATCACTCATGAAACCTTAAGGTACTGTGCTTTATCTGTGTTCGATGCGACTATTGAGGAGTCTTACAATGATAAGAAAGTTTTGTTCAGTGCTCTATGGTTTGCAAAGGTACCTCAACTGATATTATTCAATGTCGAAAGCTATGTACACAGTTAAAGGAAATGTATTTTACAGGTGATTTATATTACAGGCTAAAGTGCCTTTAAAAGTCGGAGTGTGCTGGACAACTTTGTCGTCTTAGCTAAAAAACAACAACTGGGAACTACCCATAACATCATAAATGCTCGAATTCCAAACGTATAGGCTACCATTTTGGAGATGCGTTAGTACTTAGAAAATTCCCGATTATTTTGAAACGTTAATTTATTCAGTAAAGTATACTTCTCTTTTTCCATGTTAGGAAATTCATATTTCGCACATAAAACTATATAGATTTGCAACCTTCATTGTAGTTCAAATGTCAGCATAATTTTCGAAAACAATAATTTTTTATCAGAAGGGGTTTTGTGGATATCATAGTAACTTTAATAATTGAGATCATGAATCATATAAAGCTAGACCACCATGGATTGGATCGGTTGAAGATAAACATTAACACCGTTGGATCCCGGCCATCTCAGTGGTCTAGTAGTTAAGCGCTCGCGCACGAAACTGATAGGTGTCCTGGATTCGAATCTCGCGAGACGGGATCGTGGATGCGTACCACTGAGGAGTCCCACAATAGGACGAAACGACTGTCCAGTACTTCCAGGTTTTCCATGGTGGTCTAGCTTCAATTGATTCATGATCTCAACTATTAAAATTAATAATTTGTTTTTTTTTATAAATTTAAACATATCCTAGTTCAAAGACAGTTTCATTTTTATTCAATACAAATGAGTACAATATTATGAAACTGTGAAATATTCCATTTTACTTTAAAATTTTCTTTTCATTAGGTGATGGTAACAAACAAATTTTTAAAACGAAAAAATTTTCTCTACAAATTTATTATTTAAATTATTCTAGTTTAAATAAAACTAATGAATTTTATTATTAATATGATCAATATAGTCAACATGGTCATTCATCATATAAAAAGAAATCATAATTGTATACAAGTTAAGCATAGAAAATATGTAGTTTAAGTAATTAATTAAAATTATGTTAATTTTTTTTTGTTTTTTTAAATCTCAAATTATTCATAACTTTAAATAGTGTCGTTTATTTTTAGTCCAAAGAAAAAAGGAAATTGTCTATAAATGAAAATCAACTACCTTTTTGGTGTTGTTGGCGGTGGTGGTGCTGGTGTTGTTATTACTTGTAATTTAATTAGATACTCATTCACTTATTCATTATCTCTTACATATACATACATAAAATTTTTCAAACCGATTCACACATACAGACAGACATCTAGAGAATAAAGAAAAGTGAAATGTAGATTTTAAGAAATTTTTTTGTTGTTGTTGAATATGCTACTAACAAAAATGAATTTTATTAGTAAGGCATAATAATTGTACAAATACATAAAACGTATTAAACTTTTTTAGTATTTGAATAGGAGTGAATTGACTGCAACTGATAAACTAATGAAGACTCGATAGGAATAGATAATAGTTGTTTTCTAATTTGGAATTTATCAGTAGTGCATAATTATGACTAAGACAATTATCCATCCTAGAATTTTCTGATTTTATGGTGAGTATGTTAACTTTGAATTCTTGAAACAGTCTAATGCTTTGCATACTTAGCAGCAGCTAATTCATAATATAGGTAGACTATGATGTGATGTAATCAGTGACACCTGCTTCATTCACAACATGATTGAAATCTATCAGTTACGAATTTTGAATCAGTAATATATGAGTGAAGTTTGTACTGTAAGATTTGTAGCTATTAGGTTTGAGTTCTGACTTAGACATTAATACATAATGCTGAAAAACGCCGATTTGATAAGAAATGGTTATCCATTGCTCTTCATTTTCAACAGTTCTCTAGCTGGTATCAGACTTTGAAAAATCCATCTCAGAACTGAACTATTCTTCACAGGAAGTGGATTTTCAGTTTATTTTTAATTACACTTTCTTTTTCGTTGCCTTTTCATTTTATACTTTATTGTGTAATTTCCTCAGTAAAAATAAAAGATAACGTTTTGAAGATAATCGTGATTTGTCAACCAGATTCAATTATTTATCCACCAGTAATAATCAAACTTGTTTAAATTCGGATACCTTCACTGTTTATTTGAAAAAATTTACACATATGTCATTCGGGATTTTAATTAGTCAAAGATGAATAATTTGCAAATATTGAAAGTTAGTTTCTAGGCAGATTATAATATAGTATTTCATTCTATTTTGTTTCAAAAGTATCATAGTTACATTGTTCTGGTTTAAGAGAGTTTGCATCAAATTATGCTACTGTTAATAGTGTCTTGGTTTGCTCAGTTAGTGACTAGTCTTACAAACCCTTGCTATAGTCTATACAATATTTCGGACAATAAACAGACTTACACCATGATAGGTAATGTAACTGTGGTGAAGCAATACCCACCAGTCTTAATCATCTAGTGGGAACATATATGACCGATGCCTAGATATATAACGTTAAATGCTTACTGTTTATCAGCGATTCCGTCCGAAATTTTAATAAGAAAATCGATTAAGGATGTAGAAATCAAGCTTTCTAAACTCTACAGTTATTAGTTCTGGATGATTACTGATGAAAATTCATAATTCACCATAGGTATATATTTAATAACTATAGAGAATGTGAATTGACTGTAGTTTTTCATGTTTACTCCGCTGACTCTGTTCAACTGAGTTTAGCAGCAAAGTCTGAACTGGGAAATGATAACCGAATCTACTGTAGCATGCTTATCAGCAGTTCATTTCATAACTAGTTCAGATAAGCGTTATTATATATAGTAACAGGATGCAGTATATTGGTTTATTTCACTAAAACTTAATATTTTTATTACATGTTTGTCAGAACTCTTTAAACAAGATCTGTATTCGAATTAGTTTTCAGGAACATACGCTTACAAGACTCTGAATGGTAAATGAAAAATTATGACAACCATAAACTGTGTTCATTTTCAGCCAACCAAAACTCTGCTAATAAAAAATATGATGTCAAATGAAGAATATTAACAATAAAAGTTTGTTATCGAACACTATAATCACTGAGCTAATTATTATATTAATAAAGCATTAATCAAAACATTAGAAATAGCTTTTATATTATTGGTTAGTATTATTAAATTTCAGATCATGCAAATGTTTTCCTACTGAATTTCTGCAAATCTTAATTTTTCAGACAGAGTATTAATTTATAAGGGACGCTCATTCACTTAGAGATCTTGTAACTAAATTATTTTCAAAATTAAGTTCATAAGCATCCTTAATAAGCATTCAGTGAGTTGTTGTTTTCAAATAATTACTTTCTTAAAAACCATAAAATAGGTTGCAAAATAGAAGAATAAAGATTTATTTCCTTAAAAAATGAATTTATCTTTGAAGATTACAAAACTATGCTTGAGTAAGTAAGTGACTGAATATCATACAGTTTATGAAGCGGTCCAAATAAAAAATTAATTTCGTTCATCGATTTATCACTAAATTCGGTCACACTATAATTTATGAACGGACCAATCAGATATAACATAACAAGTTTTGAATTTGAGCGCAAAATTTATTCATCTATTTAACATTTTAGCTGATGTCAGTTCATGATGAAAACCTTAAATCTAGTTCCTAACCCTTACCATTAACTGTAAATCATATTTCTAATTTATTGCACTGGTTTATAACCCTCAATTAATTCTTGTTAGTAGGTGGACAATCTCAAGGTCATTTTCGAATGGCTCAAAGATCGTCTATAAATTATAGTCTCATCCTAAATTCATATCAGATAATCATATTTAAATGATATAAAGTATTTTCACTGTAGATATTAATTAATTTCCCAATCATTGTAGGAATGAAAAAAAAACTACCGACCTGGATTATATATATATATATATATATTGCTTCCTGTCTATTGATAATTATTGATTTTCAATAAAGTCTAAACTCATTTAATTGCTAGGTTATTTTTTACGAAAAGGAAATAAGTCACTTATTGATTAGCTTTTCCGAAAAAAAAAAGAAAAAAAATTAGTTCATTTTCAGTAAAACAATGAGTTCATTCACCCACTGAGAACTTTTCATTGCTGTTATTACTATTACTACTATGAATCGGAATATAGTTTTATTATTGATTAGAAAACAATGGAGTTCATTGAATTTTGAAAAGTTCTCTTCTTATCTAATAACATTTTGTTTGATTTATTTTTATGCAAAGAAACATAATTAATTTCAATATTTGATTGTTTATTAGGCAAATAAATACTTCATAGATTTAGTTGATTTTTCCACTTGTTTCAATGTATATAGATCATAAACTTTTTTATTATTAGATAAGTAGATATATATAAACCAGATTTCAGCGGAGGAAGAAATCAGGAAGAAGCACTGGAAGTGGATAGGACACACATTGAGTAAATCACCCAATTGCGTCACAAGACAAGCCCTTACATGGAATCCTGAAGGTCAAAAGAATAGAGGAAGATCAAAGAACACATTAGGCCGAGAAATGGAGACAGATATGAGAAGAATGAACAAAAATTGGATAGAACTAGAACGGAAGGCTCAGGACAGAGTTGGTTGGATAATGCTGGTTGGCGGCCTATGTTCCATTGGGAGTAACAGGCGTAGGTAAGTAAGTAAGTAAGTAAGTAAGTAGATATGTATAGAAATTCAGGTTAATCGATTATTATTTACAAATCATTGTTATATTATCCAATCTTTGGATTGAATAAGTTTCATTAAACTTTCATCACTAATACTGGTAAATAAGGTAAATATTGAATAGTTTGATCATTTTAATCACAATGAAAGTCATTGGCTAACCCATTAACTTGTATATATATTAACTTTACTTTGTAGAATAGAATAACATAATATCTGGACCATTGACAGTTTTCTTGAAATTATAAATGTACTTTACTCTGAAATGACATGCAGTCGAGAATATCATCAAATGAGATTTGATTAATTATCTTCAAACATCAAGCTAAATACATAAATCTATACGTCATTAGTGAGGTGTATATTGCAATCAGTTTCTTCTTAGACTAGCTAATTGTAATATAATAATTTTAACATGAATTATACTACAACAATCAAATTGTTTCAATGCTTTGATCTAAAATCCAAATGTGTAAAATTTTACACACAAGTAATATTGGCTTATCTCATAATAACAAGAAAAAATAGTCTAAATACAAGGAACAACTTCAAAATCGGGTCAAATAAGTTAACATTTGTAATTAGCATTAACAAAAGGCGGTCAACTATTGATGTTAATATCAAAATAAACAATGATAAGTAAAAATGAGTTGAAACTTCCTTATTGAACACAAAAAAGACGGTGCTTAAAACACAACTAAAAAACACAGTTTCTTTATTTTTGTCATATATATACTTAATTATTGAATACAATATTGACAATTCTACAATAAATCAGAACAAAAATTTACGTATATTACGTTTTACTAGCTCTTGAAAGAAAGGGCTATTTAAAACTAATTGTTTAACTAAGAGTTACTTATTAAAAACACATAACTATTTCAATTTCATTTCTATAAAGTGAAAGCAATTCAGTATTGAAAATCTTAACATCTAAACAACTCACCACCATTTTATTTTAATAACTAGAGAAAAAAAGGGTTAAGTTTCTCTCTTCTTTTTCAGGCGTTTCATATCTTTTAAAAGTTAATAATGAAGCCAAGTGATTTTTCGAGCAAGTTATTGTTATTTATTAAAACATTGATAATTAAAAAAGAAAAAAAAACATTTTTCTCTTTTTTTTCTTTTTTTCCTTAAAAGTAGGGAAGAAAAATTGAGAGAAAACGAATCACTAAAAGAAATTTTTTTTAAAAAGAGGCAAAGAAAACCAAAATAAAAATGTTACCTTGGTCACTTCATTTTTATCTTCTACTGTTAATTACAAAAGAACTAGACTCATGCACATACACTTCATTGAACTAGATGTTTTTTAACAATTAACTATTCATCATGTGCGAAATAGATAGATAGATATTAAACAAAAGAGCTCCTATCTTTTTTTGTTTTATAATTCATGCCTACTTGATTTATTCAGTTATTCATTGAACATGAAATGAGGTAAAGTGTTAAGTCGATAAACCTTCTGGGATTTTGTAAATGAATACCAATTGTTTAACAATAGAATTTTTCATTATTATTTTTATTGTTAGTTATCAATCATTGAGTATACTTATGTTCATTAAATATACAATAGAAAATGTTTAAATTTAATAAAACTTTGATAACTAACATTTCTCAAGTGTATATAAAATTAATGAAACATTAATTCAATGATATAAGTAGGCTTATACAGGTATTCAGTAATATAAATCAGTTATCCAAAAGAAATATATATTGTGTATGTAAGTATGATATACAAGCGAGCAATCTTACATGATTGTGAGAAGATAATGTGAAAATATTTCGGAAAACAATGATTTTATTAGTTTGTTTGAATTATCTTAAGTATCTTAAACTTTGAAAATGAATCAAATATAATCGATTTAAAGATGATGATGATGAAGTAATCTAATTATACGTTATGTCACAAAATCTTAGGGTATAAAATGGAATGTGTAGTTAATCTATTCATGTACATAGTAAGTGTAACTCAAATACTGAACCATACCGAATTTTTTTGGAGAACGAAACCCATATTATAAAGTGTGATAATATTGACCTGACATGACCCCAACAGTGATGTTTATATTACATCTTAAGCTTAGAACTAGATGGAAACATTGATCAAGAGCTTCTCGTCAGTTATCTTCAACCATATCCCCCAAAAGTGATTTTTGTTTAAAGCCAATGCTCAGATACCAGGCGACTCACATTTTTAGAAATATCTGATGTGAATTAAGAACTAGAAAAAATAACGATTACTGCTTGTCAAAATTACTTTCAAATTGAATGAAGTATCTACGATACCATTTAACAAAATAGAAATCTGTCTTCATGAATAAACATGAGTAGAGTTCCTGATACCAAATCAATCCAACTTCCGATGTCATGATAAATAATATAGCTATTTATTCTGTTAAGCTGTTGAATACTTAAGTGTTTAAATCCATCTCAAACCAAATCAAATATTTTTTTAAAAATTAATAGACAAGATTAAATTCTATTATTAAAATGATTATTAAGAGAGAACGATTGAAGTTAGGCATTACCACTGTTAGATGCAGTCTAAGTGGTATAGAAATTAATAGTTCGTGCGCGAGGCCGAGAGTTTTGGGTTTGAGTCCTGTGTGAGGGATCGTAGATACGCACTGTTGAGGAGTTCCATACTATAACTAAACGGCCGTCTAATGTTTCCGGGTTTTCAATGATGACCGACCTTAGATCGACTCGTGAATTCAACTGTGAAAATACTACAATTTCTACGAATCCCTATAATGAGAAAACGGAGTATTAAAAATTTTTCTTTGGCTTCATTTAAGCATACTTTTAGCAAAGTAAATTCCACAAAATTTCCTCTTTTTTTAAGACAAAATTGAACATGTTCGAAAAGATATACACACCAAAAAAATTAAGAAAGTAAGAGGATGAAAAGAGAGGAGCAATAACAGTAAAAAAATAAAATACACAAGGAGAACAGATCAAAACAATGCCATACATTATTTCGTTTTCCTCGAGATTTAATCAAAGATTTTGGTATAAAAATTTATAAATATATCTATGTATTGCATTGAGATAAGTTCACAAAACACTCAGCAAACTCAATTGCCACATTTTATCTGATCACTGATATCTATATATATACTCTAGCTAATCTCACTCGTTAACCAGAAGGAAATTCTTTGACCCATTTTTTTGTGTGACTTGTGTTACTCGTCCGTTAGTTTTACTGTTGGGTGTGTGTTATCCCTAGATCTAATAGATTGAATGTGTTCGTGTGTTTTCCTGTCAATTCATTCTTCTGTTATCATTTACCGAGAAAAGAAATTCAACTCATATTATTATTTCCGTACCCCTTCCCCAAACACATGCTTATTTGACTCGATTTATTTTATGCCAATTTTTTTCTGAAAAAAATGAATAAAAGCTGTGTGAAGGAAACGAGTGATTGACCTTGGCGAAATTAACAACCGCCTTCATCTCCATTTTATTGTGTAGAAGTCAGAAAATAATTGTCAACTAGTAAACATAAATGAGCAAGGAAGTGTATATGTACAAATAATCGAGTAAATACACATGTGTATAGGTATATTTCTATGTAAAATATATATACCTATGTATGTACGTATGTAACCATGTTCTTTTTTGATTTATATTACATTGTATAGGCGAATAAAAGGAGTGTTAAACACTAAAATAGCAAATTCAACTAACAACTATAGAAAAATAAAACAAGATAGTGGTTGAGTAGAGAGTGATTACGTGTGTGTGTATGTGTTTGTATTTACAAAGGAGAAATAAAGTAAGACAATACCAGATTAAAAACACAAACAGGAAATATCACACACGAAAATGGCTGACAAACGATAAAACTGTCGAATAAAAATCATCATGTGTTGTTTGTTTATCGATGAACAACACGAGATAATATGAATGAAAAGAAACTGGGATAACAATAGAACACTGTCAGAGATAATCTCTATAAACTATATTGGTATATATATATTTATGTATACGACTTCATTTTTCTTTCTTAAAAAATATTAATATTACCTTTCATTCCTACTTATCTTTTATGTATATATTCAGTGATCGGCTTTAGTCTTTTTTTAAATGTTCCAATCATTATTTTTCTTCTTAGTATAGTACAAGGAGATTAGATTTTGAAAGATTCCCGAACAGAATAGGAAACCCAATGATAATAAAAGGACCAGATTTGTTTTGTCTTATTTTTGAAACCAACACTTTTATAATAATCATAATCATTACTACTTCATAATGTTTATTTTGCAAATTAATCGTAATAAAAAACAAAGAAACAAACTTCCTAATGTTTTATGAAAATATAGATTTCGGTTTGTTTTGTTTTTTTAGTTTAGAATTTATTTTAAATATTAAAGATGTTTTCTTTATTTGTATGCCAACTTAATAATCAAGTATCAGGACTCGGTAGCTGAGTGGATAAAGCGATGGCGTTTGAAGCGAAAGGTACTGGGTTCGAGTCCAAGAGTGAACATCAACTCTGAGATGCAGGTACATCGAGCGAACGAGTCCCAAATAGGACGAAACGCGCATCCTGGATTCCACTGCTAGCCATTATCCATCTTTGCTTATAATGCTTGTGAATTAAGGCAATATAGAGGCAATACGCACAGTATGCACATATGCCAAATAGAGACTGACCAGTTGTAGTCCTAAACATCAATGGGAAGATTCAAACAAACAAGTGAGCATCAAATAATGG